ATTAGTTTAAAAACAAGTATAAATATATACAGTGAAACCTCCTGTTATGGACACTCCTGCAAAACGGACGCCTCTCAATACGGACATATTTTTAATTCCCCGGGAATCTTCTATGAATAAACAGTTATGTACATTCTCCTCAATGCGGACACTCTCGTAACCGGACAGTCATTTTTGCCCAAAAAAGTTTTTTTCTATCTCTTCAAACCGGACACTACTTTTTCTGAATTGGAAAAAAAATATTTCTGCTTTAAATCTAAAATTTTTTTTTCCAACTTTTCACTATTTTTAAAGGAAGTGAATTTTTTGCTTATGCATAACTAAAAATACTGTTAAGCCATTTCACTACTAAAGAATCCACCTTTCTCCTGTCCCCTCGCCTTATCTTTGCAAAGAAAAAAGGAGTCCATGATACTGCTCTAGTGAAATAATTCGGACATTGGCATCTTTTGATCCTTTCCTCAGGACAACACAGGTTATGAGACCCCTCAAGTCAAAATGACACTTTAAATGCTTTCACTGCTTCTTCCCCATTGAAAATTTCTTTCTTTTTCTTATCAATTTGAAGACCGTATTTAACACAGCTGATGTTAAAGAAAGAGAAAAAAAAAAATAAGAGAACAGAAGTATAATCTTTGAGGTGTTCATATAAATGAAGCATTTATTCAGACACTTGATAGATGATCAACTGTGACGAAATCAGCTCCATAGGTCCTCATAATTTACAGGCAGGCATTGCTTTTTTTTTCTATGAATCGTGGGAGGTTTACTTTCAAAGAGGTATTAACCACGTTTCCTATCAAGTGATAGGTAAGTGTTAAGGGATGTAAACTTAATAATTGAAACCGACTGAGAACTAAAAGCCCCACTTCGGTATCATGTGCCTAACTTGAATATCTGTGCTAATAGGAAAATTATATTCATTTATTTGTAGCTACATTTAGAAGTATGTATTTATATCTAACTTTTTTATATATTCTTTATCGAAAAAATATTTTTTTTAACAATTTAAATAACTATCTCTGTAGATAGTTATTGAAGATTATTTAATTATTTCCTATATCTTTCAAAATATTCTAAAAACAATTTGCGGTGTTAAACTTCGTCCTTAGAGTACCCTTCCCGAAAACAGACAACTCTCATAAACGGACAATTTTTTCGTTCCCAAGAAAGTCCGCTTAACAGAGGTTCCACTGTATTTATATTTATTCTATATTTTAATACTTACTGACGATAGATTAGAAGAAACATCAGTGTTTGGAGTATCGGGCAAATGTATACCGGGCAATGGCACTTGACCTTAAAAAAACATCAGTGTAGGGTATACCGGGCAGTGGCACTTAACCTTAAAAAAACATCAGTGTAGGGTTAAAACATCGAATAAATTTAATTATATCCACGAATAAACTCATATCAAATGGAATGTAATAAATATTTCGGACATTCACCAAAGCATATCTGTGATTGTCGACATACACCGGTGAGGGTCCAAACGTACAAGAATGTAATTAAATATTCCATCTTTCAACGACGTCCGGTGAAAGTCAACAACCACCAATTTTGGTCTTTCGCAGTGACATATATATATATGTACATATATAAATACAGTAGAACCTCGATTAACCGAGGCAATAACGAAGTCTAAATTTTTTTCTTCTCCTCTCTAAAATGAGCTTGGAAGAAATTATACACATATTAGTTCGTTGTCCGTGTTACAGGCACTTACTCCCCACAAAAGCACTCAACTTCCATGAAATATTACACCATGAGAAGACAACATCCATGAATGCTTTGTTAACAGTGGTCATGTGACTTGTAAGTTTAATCATGTAAATTTTAAAAATACAATATTTTCTTGAGATTTGTGTTATTTTTGAAAATGCGTCTTTCGATATGTAACTAAGTGCAGTTAAAAAAAATTCAATTTTTAAAATTTACTACTAGAGTTGATTTCCTTTTTAAATCTTTTTAGCTGTGAAACATAAGTTCATATATGTTTAGTTTTATCATTTAAAAAACGTTCTATTGTTTGTTACTTTAAAAGTAGTTAAATTCGCAAGCACAGAAGGTTTTTATACATGGTTTCTATTAATCGAGATTTCCGATTAGCTGAGATAATCGAGGTCTTACTGTATACATATATATATATTTATACATATATCAACTTTTTATACATTTTAACGGAGTGAACAAAATTATTAACCAACAAAAGAAAGCTAAATATTAACTTACAAAGAGAAATAAAAGCTAATGATTAAAACAAGCTATGCAATTAATAGTTATAAAAACAAATTAACAAAGGATAACTTGCAAAAAAAAAAAAGCCAGCAATTAATAATTTGCGACAAAAAACAAAACAAAATTGGGTTCGTAATCCATTTGTGATAACAAATACTTCTGTATTTGAATAAAGAGGAAGAACTAATTTCACTTTCTAAAAATCGAGATTTAATTTTAAAATATTCTGAAGAATCAATTGATTCATTTTGAATTGACATTAGATGCGATTATCCATGATAGCCAAAAATGCTTTAAAAATATTATTACAATTTTCTAAATCCTATTTGTGTATATTCTGATCATATTAATCAACAAAAAAAAAGATAAGAGACTGTTCAATCTAGAAGACAATATGAGAGTAGCATTGTCATTTTTACAACCAAATATAAATGAAATTATTAAAAAACATTGAGCTCAAATTTCTCAGTAAAAGTATTATTATTAAATTATAATTAATCCCCTAGTAAATGTAGCTGTTTTTGAAGTACACTTTACTTCACATTAAAAATTACTATCAATTATTATTTCACACAGCGTATTATAGCTAAGTAAATAACTTTTAAACTATTTTTTTCTTTGTGTGTCATCAAATTTCGAAACTGTTAAAAATGTGCTGCAACAACAACAAAAAAAAAGGTTGAGAATCACTGAATTAGAGTATCAATAATTTAAACTGATGGGGTATCCATAGCAGAACTATTATCAACAGAAACAATATATCACTAGCAAAATTACAAATAGTATAGACAGCAGGGATTGTTATTTGAGGAATTGAGTCTAAAGATGATTTTTTACCAGTCTTTTTCAGAAGATCATCAAGTAGTGGTCAGCATCAATGTAAGTATTTAAATCAAGCATTAAAATATGTTCATTAAATTCACAGCACAAAAAACTATACTATATCATAATAAAAACATTATTATTTGTCCGTCTGTGATAAATTCATGAAAATACTGTTATAAACTCAATTTATAATAAATCTCAAGGCACATATGGTATTTAAATTAGAGTAACAATAAATTATTCAAATAAGATATCTAAGTATCTGCTTGGGTCTCCATAGCGGAACTTGCAGTAGTATCATCAGCGGAAACAATATCATTAGCGGAATCACAAATAGTATCGACAGCAGGACTGCATCCCTGATCATTATTGGATGAATCTGGTACATCCCCATAAAATGTAGGCTTCTCATCGATACTTAAATTTTCCATTCCATCAGTAATCTTACCAGGGACATCAATCTCATCTTCGGAATCATCTTCCCCAGAAGAATCTTGATTGAGTGATTTTTCAGGTTGTTTGCAAGGCACATCACCGACATTTAAACGAGCTTTACTTAAAGTGTTAAAACAGCTAAGGCATACTCTAAGCGGTTTGGACGACTGAGCAGGAAGCAAGAATTTCTTGCTGGAACATGGATTGCATACAACAGCGCCACATTTACGGCAATGATGCCTGCGATTAAGAACAGTAAATTGAGTTTTTCGACAATGCATACAAATGGAGGCTTCAGCATCTGGTATCCACACAGCGGCGTGTTCTAAAGATGGTTTTTTACCAGTCTTTTTCAGTAGATTATCAACACATTTGTTTATGTGATTCATCCATTCTGTTTTCTCAGTAGCGGTAGCTGCATATACAGCAAATGACTTAGTTGGGGTTCGAATCAGCCATCCATTCTTTAAAATTCCATCGTCTTCGAGATTTTCTAATTTAACTTCCTCTAAAGGGATGATATGCTGCTTATTATACTTCTTTTTGTCCATTACGATGTTACCATAAACAAGAATATCGTTAAACAAGAAAAATTGCCGTGGCTTAGCTTTCTTACGGCACATTTTAGTAAGAACACCTTCACCTACTAATGCACGCCCCTGTATGGCCAATGGTTGACCAGAGGTCCCAAAACAATTTTCAACAGCAGCGATTCTGCGAGCATTTGCTTCACTGTTTACTAAACGATCGACCATTTTGGGGGCGTTTTATTAAGCAAATGTAAATTAAAACGGCCTTTTGATGATTATAGAAAATGATTGCATATCACATCTGAAAATATGTCGAATTCAAGAAACGAAATATCAGATAAATCAAAACAAATCAGTAAACTTGATTTAAAAGCAACACTCCTTCACTGATGAATACATAACAGATGAAAGCTAACGGACGGAAGAAAAAGTGAACTAGTGATGTGCGAAAAACGAAAGAATCGATATTTTAATCAACTCCTTTCTATGACTCGATTCATCAAGTTCGTTTTAAAAATAGAATCGATTCCTTTTTTTTTGTTAATATGGGGCACGGGCACGTGACGTCAGGTGCTTTGCTTACAGTCAATTGGGTGGCAAGCTCACAAATGGAAGTCCTTTTACTGTACAATAAGCGAGCTATAAACGCCATTAAGCAAAGAGCTCCAAAAATACCCGTCTGTCATCATCATCATCATCTTTAGATAGTCAACAAACAAATACAATGCAATTAGTTCTAAATTGAATTTTTAGGTGGTGGCCGTATTGTACTATGGCGTCTGGACGTTGTACTCATGCGATTGTTTGCCGCATCCCTAATTGTTTTAAAACAAATGCCACTGACTTGAGTGGGGATGTGAATTTATCCGAAGCAAGGAAACAGCATGATCAACTTTGTAAGGTTCTGAGAGATATAGGTGTTGATGTTATTGAATTGCCGCCGGATGAAACTCAACCTGACTGTGTTTTTGTCGAAGACACAGCAATTATTTGTAACAGCACAGCTTTAATTTGTCGCCCAGGGCTTCCAGCACGGCAAAAAGAGGTTTGAATTTTATCATAAAGATTAGTAGGAAATTGTCAAAAATTATGGACAATTTTCTTTATTAATTTTCAACTATACACGTTAGCAAGATCGTAAGTGACTCATTACTTGTTGGATATTATCATTTTTAACAAGTATTTTTATGTCCAGGGCCGTCTTAATAGCGAGCAGGGCCACCGGGCACAGAATTGTTTTGGGCCCCTTTAACATGTGATACTGTTTAAAATCGAACTAAAAAACTTCACATGCATAAAATAAAACATTTTCAAGGTATGCAATAATTTTAACAAACTTAAAAAAATTTTATTACCCCGTAAACTGAATGCACATAAAATAAAGCATTTTAAAGTGTGATAATTTATAACAAAAAAAAATTCAAATGGTAGGAATTATTTTGTCAAATTAAAGTCAATTATTAAAACTTCTTTCAATGCACATCAGACATAACCAGTTTAACAGTTACTGTCCCGTAGTGCTGTGTAATTCTTAACTCTTTCAATTTTATTTCTTTATTGAACTAATTATAAATAATAAACAAAGTTTGTGGTGGTCAAGCAAATTTAGAGACATTATGACATTGAGCATCTGTTAACTTCATTTTAAGGTAGAAAAATAGCTTTCGGTTGACCTTTTAAGTTTTCTTGATGATAAAGTATTCAAATTATTGGTCTAAATAATCTATCCCTATTTATAGAAAAAAACAAAATGCTCACTTTTTACAAGAGAATGTATTTATTTCAGGGTTGGCAGGTTTTTGACATGTGACAGTTTTTGATGGTTTAAACCGTAACGTCAAAAATGTCAAAAACCTATGTTCATATGTGAAATTTAATTAATACATGAAATTTATATATTTTTTATAAAGGATAGTGTTCCTAAATATGTTCTAGAAAAAATAAATTTAAAATTTTGAAGAAACACTTATATTTTGAATAGTAACCAAAATCTTGTACTTTTGAAAGCTCACATCTTTTGTAATATTATGTATTCATTTTCATGTGTTATTGAAAATCTGCAGTGATATTATTAAGAAATTTATTTATAACCAAATTTAGTGTATAGTATAGATTATACTAAAAATTAGACATTTTTAAAGATAAACATTAGCAGTTTTGTACATTAGACATCTTTTAAAGAAAAATCTTTTTAATATTCTTT